ACTCTACATGTAAAAGCATCTTTCCGCATCTTTTTATATGTACAGAATTATCCCCACCACCATTATACTCACATAAAAAGTAGTGTATACAAAAACGATTCCATCTGGGAATTAACTTCCTCTTAAAAAAATCTAGTACAATTAGCGAGTTCAATCCCCTTGTATTGTGTGAGTATTCTCTAAAATATTCATAACACGGAAACATATATGCCAGTTCATTCATCTCATGTGTATCTTCCTTCTAAAAGTTCATTACACGGATATCGCACAAAAGTAGGTCAGTTCATTCATCTCATGTTTATCACCCTTCTAAAAGTTCATTACACGGATACATAACACGTCGGATGACGATGCGCATTATGTTTGTTTGATTACTTCTTCAGAGCTCACGTGGCGGGTGGATGGCTCACGCAACGAACTTGCTTTTTTGGGGTTTTAATCCTTCAGAGCGCACGTGTATGAACTATTTTTTTAATGATAAGTGGATGTATGGTTGTGGGGAGGGGGTGAGGTGCTCGCGTAATAGAACTGTTTTACCAGTTTTGCTTTTCTTGTTTCAAGCGTTAAAGTGTATCTGGGAGGAAGGGGAGGTGGTGGGAGTGGGAGGGGAGGTTTAAAAGGTTGGAGAGGGTTTATAAATGGTCAAATTGGCCAAGCTCCCTCTTTGCTACCCTACTATTAGTGTAAGACGCCATCACCTTTGGCCAATAGCAATGCGATCGTCATCGGGAACTCGAACATACGAGGAGAAAGGGTGGGGGGATGAAAGTTAACTTTGCACTGAGGAAGAGACAAATCGACACTACTCCGACTGCTAGGGCGGGAGCTAGTCACGGGGAGAGGTAAACGCACCTCTGGGGGGGGGACTTAGGAAGAGGAATTTTTAGAGACGTGGTGTGCACCTCCGGGGACAAGCATTTAATCGAAGTTTCTTTTCGAGGGAAGTGCAAAAGCACTTATACGGGAATTGGCGAATCCTTTGTCACTGCGTATTCGCTGCAGGATTTCGCAATTACTGAAATTTTTATTCGAGAGGAATCGCATACGCAGAGGGAGACGTTGTGTGCTCCGCACCTGCGATACACCCCGGCTATCTACAAGCTCCGCCGAAGCAGCCTCCAAACGCCCCTTCGCTTACGTCACTGACCGCCGCCAGACGCCCTGTTGGTGAGGGTGCGTGCGCCCCGAACGCATTCCTGGGAGGGACATCCCGGCCGCCCACAAGCTTCGCCGCGCCCACCAGGGCCTACTGAGCGCATCTGCCACGGAGGGTTCTCAGGCAACGTAATCAGGGGCAATAAGCCCTTTAGAAACTATTGTCAAAGCGGTGCCGCGCGATGGCACAGAAAGTTCCTTAGGGAAAAATTTGTAATAGTAACCGTAGAATAATTTTAGTTCCACTTTTCTTTAGTTGTAAGTTCTACTTTAATTTTAATCTTTAATTTTTTATTCAATCTTTTTTTTTCTTTTCCATCAATGTAACTTCCCTGGCACAGCATTGTCCAGGAATAATTGTTATCTTTTTTACCAGTAACCAAATTGTTTTCTTCAAATGTCCATTAAGTTAGTTTACAATTCCTTCCATCATCTAATTTTTAAATAGGTAAGGGTAGTAGAACCGACTAAGCTAAGACCGGTCCGCTACCACGCATTTGACGATCCCACGTCGCCGGTACATGCGTGGGGGTGTTACAGTAATATGAACTTACATCTTAAAGGTTGTGAGCCTTGGAATGCCATGGATTTGGTTTTATTTGTAGTTATACTTAATTATGTTGCTTTGTTATTTTATATAGTTCATATAGTGCCCTTTGCAGATTATCTTCTTTATCTGCAACTAAAATCTGGTCTTCAGCAAAAACATATCAGTTTTAATAAAATTGTTTCCTTAAAGGAACTTTCCATGAATAAGTCGATTAATGAGCGAGCCATTTATTGCACTCTTCAAAGCGCCACCCAATAACCTTCATTCTCTGTGACTTGGCGCATGCGCCGCGGCAGAGAACGCACGAGTTCAGCGGCGAAGTCCGCCTTGCTCGCCACCTCGTCCCACGCGTCGGCAACCAATTCCCAAAGAGCGTCTGAATTCTTCGGTTGCGGGCTGGGCCACTTGTCCGCCATCTCTTGTTTCGTCTTCGCCCACACGTCCTCCATCGGGTTCAAATCTGCGCTGCACGGCGGCCAGTCCAGCAGCTCGAACTCCTGCTGGCTCGCGAACCACTCCTGCACAAAATCCGTTTTGTGGACGCGGTGCTGGTCCTGTTGAAAGAAGAACGGCTCTTCGGGGTACAGCACGCGGACGGAAGGCAGCATCACGTTTTCCAGAATGTGCAGGTATTGCGCGGCGAGGGGCGCGGCTGCGACCCTCTGCACCACGCCCACCCCGCGCGCGCTCATCCACCCCCAGCAGGCGACGGACGCGCGGCCGCAGCGCTGTGGCTCGGGCACGTAGCCCGCGTTGTGCTGCGTCACCTGCGGCCGAAACACGCGCACGGGCCCGCCCTCGCCCGCCGAGAAGACGCACGCGCTCGAGAACACCACGCGCCCCCAGTCGCGGCGGGCGTTGTCCAGCGCGAACCCCACCCGGTCCACCCTCTGCCCGTCCATGAGCTTGGGGTACCAGTTGGCGCCCTTCCCCGTGCCCAAGCCCGCAGCGCGCAGGCGCCGCCGGATGGTTCCGGTACAGCCGGGGAAGGCTAGTGCTTTCTTGAGCTGCGTCGAGCGCCCAAAGGAGTTGGATCGGGAGGCGACGGCGAGCAGAAGAGCGTCCTCTTCCGGAGTGGAGATGCGCCACACACCCGACCCTTTTCGCCGCCGCACATCACCGGTCTGCAGCCACAGAGTCATCCATCCCTGCGCCGTGCGTTCACTCACCCCACACCGTCGCGCTGCCGCCGACACGGAGCACTCGCCAGACAGCGCCAGCTCCACTACTCGCCTCTTCACCAGCGGGTCGTAGTGTGACTTGCACGCGACGTGTGCGCGAGAACCGAAGCGCGCGAGAACAGACTTTTTCACCGCGTCCTCCGAGGCCCCCTCCTCCTCCTCCTCGTCGTCGTGGTCGTCTTGGTTATCATGACTGCCGTGGTCGTCGTCGTCGTCGTCCTCGCTCGAAGATCCGGTCGATTTATCCGACGTAGTCCGTCCCGAGGTGGTCTTCTCCTCTTCTGCCAGCTTGAACACGCCGTCAACTGCGAAACAAGAAAACAACAAAAACAATCAATTAGTAACGCAAGTCGAGGGCTGAGTCACGAAGATCAGTAGAGAGTAAGGACGATAATACACGAATTAAAAGCCAGTGTGGAAAGATATTTCCGTCATTATGCCATCGTCGCTACCATCTATGTGCCTCGCAACTACGTGGGACAGGGCGACATCAAGTTCTACTTGGCCGCGTGTTCCAAACTAAACAAAAATTGGTGAATAAGTTTATTCAATTTGCATTATTATGTGAAGAGTTAGGGTCAATAGTGTCAAAGGGTCAACAGACAACTGACTGTCAAAAAACTATGGACCCTAACTCTTCACATAATAATGTTTGATTGTTCAATCTGCACGCATCGCGCTGTCGTACTCGATACTAATTTTTGTGTCTCGTGAATATAGCTCTCGTGAATATATTTTAATGTGATTTTAATAACGTTAAAGTAAGACTTTAATATTGCTTAGGACCACTAAATACCCAATATTAAATAAAAAGAATTTCCATTTCAACTGAAGGACGATGATTCTTATTAACAAAGATTTAGTGTGGCTTCATTTATGAGGGAGTCGGTCTCTGGCTTCGGAGTTGAATTTTAGTCAACATACTTTGGTTTAGTTTCAAAAAGTTGACACATTGGTTATTAATAACTGCACGCATGTTGTGTGAATATTTGGCAAAAGGAACTCTCAGTATTATTTAGGTTCCCTTACCACAATTTACTCTGAAGAATACGCATCCAAAAAGCACGTCTGGTTCTAACTAGTAGCAGTAAAACCGAATGTCGAAAAAGTCAGTCCGTCATTCAAAGTGCGTTCACAAAGTGTCAAGACTTTTTGCCCCCGTGAATACAGGAAGGCGCGCAAACCCCACTGACAAGGTGAAGAAGAGGGGGAGTCAGCTAACCGACCGCACCTGCGCCAACTGCCTCTGAGACGTTGGATTGAAGAGATGGCTAGTGGTGTGAGTGCCAGAGACCCCCGTCGAGAACTCTGAAAGCCGAAAATACAGCCACATTCGGAACAGCGTTATTCGACAAAGATCTGTGAGAAAATGACAAAACCGCTACAGAGACTGTTTCTATGATTCATGAGCCCTACAAACAAGAAGCCATGACCCTACAAAAGTTTTCATGTCGCACAAGAGATTCAAAGATGGCCGCAATGTGAGACCTTCAACAATCCGGTCATGAAAATGTAAGAGAAAGCGCGTGAAATTTTAAACAATGACGGTATTTTTAATGTTCGATTCCTTGCCGATGAACTAAGATTTACGCTGGAGTGCTCCGCCGCTTGAAGGGCTGAGTCCGCTCGGAGATCAAATGCGATTGGAGTGACGATGGGCCCTCTCACACGTCGCTCCCGCAGTCATCGTACAGCCTCGACCTATCTCCCACCGACGACTGCTCCTCCGAGACCTGAAAGGAAGGCGATTGGATACGAATCCTGCGGTCCAGCAGGCTTTCAAGACAGCCTTCCGCACGAAGAGTTCCACGTAGCTTACGATCAGCGCAAAAAACCAAAGTAGCGGTGTGTTAATGCCCAAGGGTGATATTTCGAGGATTTTCAGTTCGCTGTACAAAAATGTTAAAATCTGTTTTGTTATGTTCTGAAACCAGTCATTAAATTTATCCATTGAATCAGAAGCCTTACGATAAATATAAATGACGAAGAAGTTAAGTTCCGAGCGCCTCCAATACACCTGGAAACTATGTAATGCTAGAAAAAAAAACAGCGAATTTTTGGCAGACAAACTTCTTTAAGGACCCTGGTAACGAAAAAGTGGATAAATTCAGTTCCAAAATTTAGAAAAAATCTTCTAATATGTGACGTTTTGTGGGTCCTTGATGCCGAAAAATCGAATGACGCCAAAACGTTCGCCTGTCTGTCCGTCTGTGAACGCTAGCGGCTAAACCGTCAGGTGGATTTCTCCTAATTGACCTTTTTGATTTTTGAGCCCCACAAATTTGAAACCGATATTTTAATTTCAAAAGGTGTTTATATGAAGCTCATGGGTCATTTTAAAAAAATGGCTCCACCGTTTCTGATTAAATTTTGCTGTTGGATACTGCAGAGTGGTTAAACTCTTGATTTTTCGAAAATTGCAAGAATTCAATTTGTTTTCGGCATCTTCCAACAACTACAATTGTGAAGATAGAGATTTTTTTCCTAAATGAAATCTATTCCTTAAAGATATATTTTGAAATAAGATCCTGTACAATTTTTCTAAAATTGTACTTTTCGCGTAATATTGCGTCAATGTACGGGCGAGAAAGTCCGTGCCGTTTTACCACCACTAGTTTTCTTCTTGACCCCCTCGCCATGCTGGGCTCCATTCCCGGGACGGGGCATCCGAACCCCATTCAATGAATCAACGCGCTTTAGTTGTAAAGGCAGACAGAATATACCAATTTACCTGTTTATATAAAAATGGTCTGTGATTGTTAAAAAATGGACGTGTTCGATTTCTCCCGAGTGCACACATTCAAATATGACTAATATTTATCGTGAAACAAAAACAGTCAGAATTCACAGATTACTATTGTGACCGACCACTTAAAGCGTCGTGTGCCGATCGAGATTAAAGAGCATTTCGTTGATGAGTGGGGAGAATTCAAGGTAATAATTCTGGAACTGGCTCGGAAGTTAGATAACTACGAGAATAACAGGGCAGGCTGGAAACGATCTACGTTCAGGCCGTGAAGGAAAACGGAAGTCGCAGTGGAAAATGTTGTTAGTACTAGCAAGCCGACGCCGAAAGTACCGGAAACTAGGGAAATCGGTCGGAAAGAAAAACGACGCTAGGGCAGCATATGAGAGGCCAGGCAAGCGTAAATGCTATGGATGTGGTGCCATAGACCACATAGTACGGGAGTGCCCGGAGCGTCGGGAGGCGGACAAGGTTGGTCATGTCGCGGAGAAAGAGGCACACGAGTTGTTCCAACCGCACGTGAGCAACGGAAAAATTAACGGCAAAGTAGGGACATTTTTGCGTGGTTCTGGCGCTTCGTTCGACGTGGTTCATGAGTGGTTTGTTAGCGACGAGAGGCTGACGGGAGAATGCGTGTGGGTCATGCAGCCGCTCGACGCCTCAGCGCGCAAACTTTCAGTCGCTGTCGAAGGGACTTTCGGGAGTATCGTGACGAAGGCAGCTGCCATGCCTAGAGACTGACATCGGTTATTTTCTCGAGCAGAGACCGCTGGTGACAAACATGGATATAGAATCTGCGGTGAACTTGTTCACTGACACGGTTATGTCCGCTTACAAAAAGGTCGCGAAAGTGACGCACGTGCCGGATTCTCGTCCCGAGCTCACAGAGGAGCAAAGACGGACACTGCAAGCGCTCCGCAGAGCAGTAATGCTTCATCGCCGATTTGGTGATCCCGCAGACGGTGAGGGCGAGAGAGCGCTGAGCCCAGAATTCCGTGCGTCACTGAGAGACGAGAGAATCGCTCGGTGGAAAAGTACAATAGAAGAGTGCAATCTCCACGATAAACGCCTATGGGGCTTATCTAAAGCGCTGGGGCGGCAACCAGGAGTAAATCACCCCATTCAAACCAACGCGGACACCCCAAGGCTCCCCGGTCAACCTCCTCCGCCACCGGTGTATGTGTGGGACGACGCTGCAAAAAGCGAAGTCTTTGCTGACTCGCTTGAGCGGCAGTTCCGACCCAACGACGCCCACGAGACTGCGAACACCTACGGTGCCTCCTGGCAGTCACGCCGAATACATCAGCCCGTCGCGTGACGGACGGAGAGCTCCGCGGAGTGCTCCGCCGCCTCAACCCAAAAAAATCTTGCGGCCCTGACGGCATCACCGAGGCCCACTTGAGATCCGTTGGTGACAAAGGGGTTGAATTTCTCCTGGCACTTTTCAATGCCTGCCTAGCACAAGGATATATCCCGCGTCCGTGGAAAACAGCGAGCATCTGCTTAATTCCCAAGTGCGGAAAGAGCCTCTTCCTGCCGAGTAGTTATAGACCCATTAGTCTACTCCCGTCCCTTAGGAAAGACTATAGAACGCCTCATACTGGTGCGCTTGCAGCAGGAAATACGGCGTCTAAGTCTCCTCCGAGACGAACAATTCGGGTTCAGAGCGGGCCATAGCTCCGCGCAGTAGCTGACGCGCCTCTGCACCAAAATCGGAAAATCTCTCGCGAGAGGCGGCAGAATCTGCCTACCATCCTCCTGGACATCCGGTCGGCCTACGACACGGTGTGGCATGAGGGGGCACTCTTGTCTCATCGAGTCAGGGATAAGCGACTGCTACACCAGGTTGATCACTAGTTTTCTCATAGAGAGAACGTCCAGAGTGCATCGTCCCTAAGACGCGCCGAGGCGGGAGATCCACAGGAGAACGCGCTCTCCCCCACCCTCTTCGGCTTGTACGTCAATACTGCGCCTCTGCTAGCAGAACGGAGAACGGGAATTCAGCGTTGCGGGCTCCTGATGTTCGCGGACGACTTTGCGTATTACGCGAAATCGGCGAACAGCAGGCAAGCAGTGAGATACCTGAATGAATGCCTCGCCGCCTTTCCCACCTGGCTACGCCAGAAACGCCTGACCCTAAACCTTGAAAAATGCGTGGCCGTTAACTTCACCCGTCAGAGGGCAGAACCCGAGGAAACTGTGTTGCTTGCGGGCGCGCATCTCTCTTGGTCCCCATGCGCGAGGTACCTTGGCGTGACTCTAGATTGTAGTCTCTATTGGCACAAGCACGCCAAGGACCTTCGCCACAAAACTCTTGCGAGGACCTCTCTCTTACGCCCCCTCCTTAGCTCCCCGGACCTATCTCTCTCGCAGAAGCGTCTCCTTTTCACCGCCTGCATACGCAGTTTTTATGACGGTGTTTTATTGACATGCTTGCGGAAACTTTGCAGCGGCAGCGCCGGTCTCGACCTTACGCCCGTTTGGGCGGCGAGAACCCGAGCGTATGGACCGGGGCGCACGTCGTGCCGCGCACTCTCGGGTCCTCTCCAAACCGCCACCATAGCGAACGAGTAGTATAGCTACCGGGGCCTAGGGCGTGAGTCGTCAGCTGCCCGAGGAGATCCGGAGGACCGGAGGGCACTACACGGCGCTCTACGCCGGGCGCTGGGGCCGAAAAGCTCCGCGCTCTTGCAGCGAAACCGGGCCGCGGTGACTGTGAGGTGCAACCGGACGTATTTTGCGCGAAGAGGGCCCAAGCAAAGTGCCATCCACGTCCCGGGCGCTAACCTCGCCGCAGCTTCTCGCAGAACTCCTGCGAGCAGCGGCGTGAGGCTCCAAGCGGGACGGGTGAGGCTCCGCCCGTAACAATTGCCAGACACATTCTGCCTAGCCGCTACATATACACATATATGTATATATATATACATATATATACATATATATACATATATACACATATACACATATATACACATATACACATATACACACATACACATATATACACATATACACATATACACACATACACATATACACACACACACACATATACACACACACACACACATATACACACACACACACACATATACGGTGCCATAGACCACATAGTACGGGAGTGCCCTCGTAGCGCGGGAGGCGGACAAGGTTGGTCCGCATGTCGCGGAGAAAAGAGGCAGCACGAGTTGGTTCCACAAACCGCCAGTGAGCAACGGAAAAATTAACGG